TCTCCTGTGCCCAAATATATAAAAACACCTCGCCCAGCTCTTGTCATAATTAGCATCACACAAAACATTAACATCCATTGAATTCAATTTCGATGGCTCCTACCACTCTCACAGCTCTTGCACAAGAGAAAACCCTTAATGCCAAATTCGTTCGCGACGAAGATGGCGTCCTAAGGTGGCCTCAACCAGTTTAGCAATGAAATTCCGGTGATTTCAAGGCGGAATCGTGAAGTGATGGCAGAAGGCTGAAATTTGCAAAAGAAATTGTTAAAGCATGTGAAGATGGGGGATTTTTCAGGTTATTGATCATGGTGTTGACACTAAGCTTATATCTGATATGACTGGACATGCAAGAGATTTTTTCGCTTTGCCTCGAAGGAGAGCTCGGTTTGATATGTCCGGCGGCAAGAAGGGCGGGTTCATTGTCTCCAGCCACCTCCAGGTATTCTAAAGAAAGCTTTCATCTTAAATAATTGTTCTTGTTTACCATATATTCCTAAGGGACCAAAGCTTTTGAGAAAAAGTTATACCATTCCAATTTTTTGAAAACAAAGAAATTAGTCCACAGTGCACTGTCAAAAATTGAGAGAGTAGGGATATTTTGATTCTTAAAAAGACATACAAGATGAAAATATATAACGCTGTTTCTTTTTTCATGTTATAGGGAGAAGCAGTTCAAGATTGCGTGAAATTGTGACATACTTTTCATACCCAATTAAGAACCGAGATTATTCACGGTGGCCCGACAAGCCAGAAGGATGGAGAGGTGTAACAAAGGAGTACAGTGAGAAATTGATGGGTGTTGCATGCAAGCTTCTTGAGGTTTTATCTGAGGCCATGGGATTAGAGAGGGAAGCTTTAACAAAGCATGTGGACATGGACCAAAAAGTTGTGGTCAATTCTATCCGACGTGCCCAGAACCCGATCTCACCCTTGGACTAAACGCCACACCGATCCAGGAACCATCACACTCTTGCTTCAAGATCAGGTCGGTGGACTCCAGGCCACTCGAGATAACGGCAATACTTGGATCACCGTTCAACCGTTGAAGGAGCTTTTGTGGTCAACCTTGGTGATCATGGTCATGTAAGTAGACTGCTATTTAATACATTTTCTGCTGTGTTTATTTTCTTCATCGTCTTACTAATTGTTGGCCGGTATTGTTATTGGACCACCCATGCAATGGCAGTGGGGACGGTGATCCGATCCAAAATATAATTTTTAATTTTATATAATTACTTTGTAAACTAACCTTTGCCCATCTAAATAAAACCAACTTTTTTTTTTTTTTATTATTAAATAAATGAAGTGTATTTTTTAAGAGGATAAGTATTTTATTAATCATAAACGATCAGTCAACTAAAAAAAGGAAATAAGATATTTCTAACCGTTTCTGACAATTTTGTATCAAAATTATATTATTCATTTGAATTTGCCCCCTCCGATATAATCCATCCAGAGTCTGCCATAAAAGATTCTTCGTTTAATATATGTCTCGTATATGATTTTGACATTACACCGTCTGTAATATTATCATTAGTATCTGAGCAATGGGAGGTTCAAGAATGCGGATCACCAAGCAGTGGTGAACTCAAACCGTAGCAGATTATCCATTGCAACTTTCAGAACCCAGCACCAGAAGAAACAGTATACCCACTGAAGAACAGAGAAGGGGAGAAGCCGATACTGGGGAACCAATCACATTGCAGAGAGTTACAGGAGGAAGATGAGCAAGGACCTTGAGCTGCAGACTAAAGAAATTGGCCAAGGAGCAGCAATTGCAAGACTCTGAGAAAGCCAAATTGGAGCCCAGCCCATAGATAAGATCCTTGCTTAACATTCTCTACCAATTTCCTATATATTTGTGTTTGAATTCTGTATGACTGGTGAAGTTTGTAATTGTTTGTCAGTGGCCCAATATGTGCATGATTGGCGTATGCTAAATTTATAATGCATTAAAATAAATTGAGATCACTCTCTTACATCATGTAGCTTCTCCTCCAATATAATTATGTTCATATACATAAACAAAAAAAAAATATGCAAATAACTCTATCTTTAACAAATTATAACTATACTGAGATCTGAGCTCGAGTCTCTCCTCGGTTGTTAATAGAATAGTCACTAAAACTCTATCAACTGATAATTCTAGAATTCGATAGGATTAGTTGAAGTATGCGTAAGCTAACCGAATACACAGCTCATAAAAAATATATATATATATATAACCAATAAATTATTTCTAGCAAAAACTTTTGGTTTAGGATAGTGAAAACAAATGCAGCCTTAAGTAGTCATAACCATTTCATTTCTCTCTCGCTCAGTGTGAAGTCAATATGGCAACTAAGTTCACTCTTGGTCGTTTTGAACTTTCTAGCTTATTTTAAAGGTAATAGAATTCATATAGAGAAGGTTTGTATATAATTCAGGGTTTCTATATTTGTAGATCTCATCTCAAAAATCAGAGTTTGAGGCATATATTTGTTATATATATATCAAGGAATGATAGAAAGACACATGTCCCTTAACAATATTGTGATAAGCAAACCTGTAACATATAAAAGAGAGCCAACCAATGGCTTACAATAATGAGCTGAGATGTAGAATTTGAGTGTATCACTTTGACTACAATTCAAAGATAATTACAAGTCATGAATATTCAGCTTGCTAACTTCCCCCCTCAAATCCAAGTTTCTTCAGAAATAATTGAATTGGAAGTGCATGTCTAACTCAATATGTTCGGTCTAAGAGTGAAAAATGGGTTTAGAAACAACGGAATTGGCACTTGCTGAAGTACATTGTTAATCGTAATTGTTTCCACCCATAATTAACAATGTACAATGTAACACAATTGCAATCCAAATTTAAGTTCTTCTATCAAATCCAAAGCAATATAATCCACTCAAATTAATTACTACTCAACCTAGGTTTACCCAATTCAACTTCCAACACTTAAACTTGTCATTTTTATGTTTGAGGTGGCCCTAATGGAAGTTAAAGGAGTGAAGTGTTTGTATTAACCTAATTATCTTTTATATGTACATGTGAAATATTAAAACCTTAGAGCAGGTTTGTGTAATTAATTCTAAGCACAAATATCAACATAACCAAAGCAGGAAAAAGAGAAGGGGTCTCTTTCGTCTTCCTCATTATCTTATAACATCTTCAAATGACTCTTTATATGATCTAAATTCTTTATTATAAAGAGTCTATCCATAAAAACAAGATTCCAACAACTTTTTTTAACCTTTAAATATAAAGTACATCTTCAGAGTCAAATTTCACTATCTATCATAATTTTAATTAATAAATTATAAGTTTTTATGTATTTTATTTATTAATTCTCTCTTTTATTAAATTTCGTTCTTAAAAATAAAAAATATATTTATTAAATTTAAAGAGGTTATTGGATTTGAATAAGTTTTTTTTTTATATTTAAAAATTAATAAAAAAACTCTTTATTTATATAAAAAATAATCTTTAAAATAAAAAACAAAATTGAAGATTATCTCACAAACAAAAATTACTCAGGTTATCGCTGAAGAAAAAACCACCACTTGGCAAACACTTACTGTTTGTACTCCATTTATGGATGACTTAAGTGTTGCCTATTTGTAACTTGGATATTGAATGGTGACTAAAATTGTTATTGATTTGCGTAATCTGGAAGTTTTCTATGAAAGACTTTTTGTTTCTTGATTTGACAAGTGTTTGTCTCATGATGGGTGGGTGAATGCGTTATTGGGTTATTTTATATTATGTTGCCAGGTAATTGTGTTCACCAATTTTTTTGCGAATGACTGGATATTGAAGAAACAACCTTTCTCTCTATACTGGTGATGGGGAAATAGGAAAAAGAAGAACCTTCATCTCTCCACTGGTTAATAACATGAAACTAGTGAATCTCAAAAGTTTATTTCATTATAAAGGTTGTTTTCTTCTTTTTATAGATTTTATACCACCATGTTCTTAGATTCCTTGATTCAGGGATATGCTTGACTTTTCACCCTTTTGAGTTAAGTTTACCAGACTCTCGTAATTAAGTGTAGGAGTGTAATCGAGTCAAGTTATTCACGATTGGAGCTCAAGTTTGGCTCGACAACTAACCTCGAGCTCAAACAGTTCGTTTGGCTTTCGAGCCGAGTATCAAACATGATAGTACTTGACTCGAAAGCTCGAGAGCTCATTCGAGCTTGAACAGTTCGTTTGGCTTTCGAGTCGAGTATCGAATATGATGATACTAGACTTGAAAGCTCACGAGCCATGAAAAGTTTGTGAACTCATTTGAGCTTTTAAGCTCAAACAATTCATTTGGCTTTCGAGCCAAGTATCGAACATGATGGTACTCGACTCAAAAGCTCGCGAGCCGTGAAAGGTTCGCAAGCTCATTCGAGCTCGAAGGCTCGCAAGCCGACTTGTTTTACGGAAAGGGATAATAATTAATAAATGGTAAGAGAAAATAAAGTAAGTAAATGGGAAGGGATGGATGGGCTTAGGGAAAGGGCTGATCACACGATTGGGAACATGCCAAATCATATTTTTTATATTAATTTTAATGCCACATCAAATTAGAAGTTGAGTTCTAATGTTAACTCACAATTATCTAATCACCTATTAATTATATGTACAGTATATACTAATCTTACCAATATTAAGAAATATGTTAAAATGTATGTCATTTTTGGGGATAGAAAACAGATTAATTTACTAAAAAGAGCAGATATGTTACAACGAGGAAAGATGTTTTGAATTGATGTAAAGAATATTCTAATAATTATTTTAGAAATAATAAAATTGAAAATTATTTGATTGATAATGAAATTGAAGGACAAGAAGCAGAAGATTAGATAGAAAAAGTTGACAAGTAAACCAAAAAAATATAGGACAAGATATTGCACAAACAATTGTTGAAAACCAATAATATATCACTATTTTTTTTTATGTGTAATGTTACACTTAAATATTACAATTCAATTTATTCCCAATTGAATTCCGGTTATAATTCATTTTAGAACTAAAATTAACTATTATAAAATTGTGATTATAGTTAAAAGGTAAATATTGACACTATGATAAAGTCTTTTAGAACTAAAAATGCAGAAGCTCAGTATCCTAATGAACATAAATGTTCCCGAATCCACTGCCAAGGTTTGATAGGCCAAAGGCAGAGGCCAAGTTCAAGCCGGCAAATATCCAGAGTCTTAGATGCAAGATATATCAAAACAACCAGTTATTTACCAACAAAATCTACTGTACTGCTACATTCAATCTTCAAAATACTCTGTGCTTGCATTAAAAGAAAGGTAATTATAAGGTTAAATACAGAAGAAAAAGATGTATTGATCAGCAAACTGCCTACCACTTTGCTGTAATCTCTTAAAGTTGTTGAGGTTAATCTATAATTTCTATGGCATAAACTCTTGAAAGAGATTGGAGTTAATCTATGATTTCTATGGCATAAACTCTTAAATTATTCCAAGTTAATCTTATCATTTCTATGGCATTCACAAATGTACATTTTCCCTCCTATGCTATGGTGCTATGGATATTCACAAAAATATATAAATTTTCAACTATTTTATAGAAGTAAAACGGATGAACTAGATGATCTAGGAGGAGAAATTTCTGAACTGTGCTCTTCCTTTGGATGTCCATAGTCCAAGTAATAGTCACTCAATTTTGGTGTGATACAACCATATGTTGTTTATACTCTTCCTTTTTCTTATTTAGCTTCTTCAAAGCTTTCTCAAGAGCTGTAGTATGTTTCTTTCTTAAGTACATGAGCTTACCTAACTCCGCTTTCTTTTCTTCAATTTGGTTCAATTTTTCTGTACTTTTGGAAGATGGAAGCATATCATCGACCCAACAACCGGAAAACATATTGTCAGATTCCTGAAAAGACAGATGATGCTTGTTAGGTTAAAGTAGCACTTGTATCTAGGCACCAATTCTTGCTAATGAGGGAAAGAATTCATTAAAATTTTTCTAGAGAATAAATTCAATAACAGACATAAAATATTCGCTATTGAGAGGGAGAAAGAAACAATACATACCAATGCCCAAGAAAAATAAATCCATTCTCTTTCAAAATTCCGCCATCTAGTGATATAGCACCATGCTTTATACAAGCACAAGAACGAGCCTCTAGCATGTCTTGCCAAAGAGTTGGCAGGACAAAGTCTCCCTAAGACCATCACCTCTATCTGTCCTTGTGTAAACATGATGCTCATCTAGGTCAAACCCATAAAACCTGGTGGGGTCTTCCCACGTGGAAAGAGAGGCACTGGCAAGTGGCAAAGCCATCCAACTCCCGTGTAGGGCCTGCCAAGCAAATAATCATGTTTGAAAATTGAGACATAATATAAAGAACTTCTATAATTCTTTTGGATAGCTTTGGAAGGAAATTCATATTAACAATCACTATAAAAATGTTTTCAATTGCAACCAGGAAACAGTATATTGCACCTTATATCCTCGAGGCATATAACAAGAAATCAGCCAACTATAGATTTTCCACATGAAGCTGCCTTTCCATGTAGTCCAAGTGTATAATCAACTTCTCCATTATGTTCATACTCCTCAAGAGCAGGTGCTGCTCTGGAGGATCTACAGATGAAAGAGTGTTCGGCTAACATCCTAAAGATTGAAAAACCAGAGATTATAAACTGCAGAAAATCAATGGACAAGTTAAGAAATTTGAAGAGTTAAATGAAAGGTGACCTGCTGTTGGGGATAAAATAGAATAGACAAAAAATGTTGAAAATCTGAAAACAGTTAGATTTACTTGATTCCAACAGATTTATATGACAAATAAACCAAATTAGTAGTAACATCTTTAAATGATCAGAATTTTACCTAAAAATTGTACAATCTTATCACCATATTCTGCAAATTACCATTTTGGATCTTGAACTTAATAAAGATACACAGTAAATAATGGTAAGTGTTACATTAAAGTTCTTGAGTCATAAAAGTTTCTCACAACGGACAAATAATTTGTGAGATACCATCATTCTAGACCATATTGTGTACTTCAATCATGCATACTCAGTAGGATTCATTTTCATATTAATTTTTAATGAATGAGAAAGAAAATAATGTCAATCAAAACCTTGCAATTGAAACAAGACTTGCTCAACTTCTACTGTTTGATCATTAACAATTTTCAATGCCATTTCCTGATTCTTGATATGCAAACCATATTTGCACATCTCATGCTCAAGTTCCTGCAAAAAAAGCTGTCCAAACAACAAAACTCAGATTCTAAAACCAACTATCAACTAGTAGGCGGCATTACCACATTTGGCAACAGTAGGAAAAGTTCTTTTACATGAATGAAATTTGGAAAAATTCAAGTCTTCTTTGGCCAAGGCATTAAAAACAAGTGAAAATAATCTCTAGCTGGAACAGCTAAATCAAAGGCAATGAAGCATCTATTCCAGCATAAAAAATGCATTTACATCTTAGAAATAATGTGCTGATAGAATTTGACACAATACCTTCTCAAGACTTTATGCTGGATACCATGAGGTTTCCCACATGTTTGAGGAGAGTTGAGCCCTCAAAAAGCAATACCTTTCCATCAGGATATGGGGGTATGTAACTGGACTCAATTTTTGGACTTTGCATAAGAGGAGCCTGCACATGCAAACCAATGGTTAACTATGTAGTACTGGTGGCGGAAAAATGATCATCATACAGTGGTAATGCTAAAGCTAAGCTCTTAAGATTATAAACACCAAATGTTGGACACCACAGTCATTCGATTAAAGAAAGTTTAATAAGTGTTTTATGCAGATTTCAGGACTCTTATTACATCCTGATTTCTTTAGTTAGTTTTTATATTCTAACCCATACATAAACAGATAAAACTATGAAAATTTTGCTTCACTACTTTGCGAATTATTTGTTTGATTGAATTAATTTTCATGAGCTTTTAATTAAAAAAAAAAAAAGTACGAAAACCTTCAAGAATATTTAAGCCACAACCATGCGGATCAGTTAAAGCCAAAACCATAAAAACAAACACGACTTATAGGTAACAGTGTAGAAATAGTATCTAATCACTAACATAAAATTTGTTGCAACCTTGATGCTTAAATGTAGCTCTGTGTAACAAGAATGCACAGCTAAAAAGCAAAAGCACCCTTCATACTGAGGAAGGGGAATAGCAGGAACAGTGCAGCCCCCTCCCCTGAAAGCATACCAAATTGAATCTTCTGTGCTAACAGACTTCCGACCTTATTGTGAGTGTATGGGATTGGCCACCTTTCTCATCATCATGAATAGTTTCATCTGTGTTACCCTTAGAATCAACAATCTCAAAAACTATATTTTCCAGTTGAGAACAACAGGACAACATTCAGGAACCTGATTCTATACACTACTTGTTACACTAAAAGAAAGGTATGACCTCAAAGAATCAAATCTTTCTATTAGCTATTGAATCTCTTTTTAATTGATCAATATTATATTCTGAATTCTCATCACCAACACAATTGAAATGTTCTCAGGATTAATTAGAAGTTCCTTGATATTATAGAAACTAATTTGATACCTACCTGCTTTATAAACAAGAACATAGATAAAAAAGCAAGTTCCATAATTAAATTTATATTACAAGATCTCTAGTTGTTGAAACAAAGATAATATCAAAACAATGACAAATTGATTACTGACAAAGAATTTCATATCTACATAGAAGAGCAACTCCAATAAAACCATGCAACTTGATAAATGAATGCATCACGATCGACGTCAACTACATCACAAATATCAATAGGAAAAGATCCATTTGATGACATATTGACACAAAACTATTAATACTATAATCAAATCAAGGAATCATACCCGCAAGTCAATTTGAAGTTGATGCACAAATTGTCCCAAAATTAATAAAGCTGCTGGAAGCTCTTGATTACCAGCCTTGAGAAATGAAAAATATACTAATATGGCATTATATTAACAAAGAAAGGAAATTTTGAGCAAAGGGTTTCCTTCTAAAGTCATTATTATAACACAAAAAGTCCATCACTATTTCTTTCTGAAGCTGAAATATCATTATTAATTTTCAGTAGGGCAGTAGCAAAGTTAGGAAAATAATTAATGGGAAAATGTTCTATAAAATTTGAGGAATAGTTAAACATTAGGTGCATTGTAACTGGTCACGCTTTCCATAGTGAAGAGTAATCCCAAGATAGTAGTGATTAGCAAGAAATTATTCAAGCAAACAAGATAGGAGTGTTGAGAGTGCTTTTAAGGGTGCACATAGCCTCACATTATAAAATTAAAATAAATAAATAAACAACTGTTGTATAATAAATAAATTAATATGCAGCAACAGATCAACAACTTAGCTTTAATTAAAAAAAATTGAATATGCAAAATTAGAATCAAAAGTGAGAATATTCACTAAGCAGGGACATTTTCTGCAGAGAATGATAAATAAATGAACTCAACTGTCCTCCAATCAATCCTAAAACAAAATTAACAAGCTTTACAATTCAAGAACGATTAATAAAGATTTATTAACATAGAGGCCTGCCCTCATCAAGTCATCCCTAATTGTTAATAATCTTTGAAATTGACAAAATGAATTTAATTTTCGTTGAGAACATACCTCTTTTCAGTCTCAGTCTTTAGCTACAATTTCAACCATGAAAGAAGTAGCCAAATTGGAGCACTTCTTTGTTGTGATCTCTTCCAAAGCTGGACAATTAAAATGGTAATTCTCTGGACAAAGGCTGATGAAGTTGGCTAGTTCCTCAAGGGTTAGTCTTTTTAAATTAGGGAGGACGATCTCTTTTCCATCTCTTGCAACGACATTTTCTCCTCTTTGATGATCCAAATAGAAGACATGCTTTAACTGAAGGGCATTACTTAATACAAGTGCTTCAAGTTGTACAAGACCTCTTGCAATAAAGATTGGGAAAATATATTCCAATCTCTCGCAGCTATCTATAGAAAGAGATTCTAATTTTGAGAAGAAAAGAGGATTTGATAATATTTCCTCTCCCTTGTCAATATCATGCTCTTTGATGACCACCAAATGCTCCAAACTATCACAAGCATGTACTATGAGCGATTTTAGTTGCACCAAACTCTGAGCAAAGGACATTGTGAAGAGATATGTCAAGCTTTCACATTCAATCTCTTCAAGAGCTGTAAGACTTTTCAGGTTTACATGATTGGTATGCCCCTTTCATATGTTCATCAATTGCGACAAGTCTTCTAACTTTAATTCTGTTAAATTTGAGAGTTGCCCAAGATTTTCTTCCTCTATATGAAAGCACTCTTCAAGTTGAAATACTTCTTGTAGCTTATTTGCAGCGGTAGATTGTCACTTCTTTCAAATTATTGGATCTTAGAGGCAGCATTGATGAAAATAAGCTCCATATATTGTCACAAAAGGCTACTTCTATAGTTTCCAAACTAGATAATGCATCGACTAGCACATGTTCTTGTGACATATCTATTACACAATTCAAATCACGACATTCTTCAAGCTGAAGATATCTCAACTTTATGAAGCCCCCTTGATTAATTGTTGGGACGATATCTCGACAACCTTCAATATAGTTTAGAACAAAATATTCTACAGTATCATACAACACTTTAAATACATTCAATGAGGTTTCATCAATAGTTGTGATTCTTAAAACGTTTGTATTTGGAAATGATTCAAAATATGATTTGTAAGGGTTCACACATATGTTATACTTTACCAATTTCGGGAGAGGAAAGTCTACTAGAAGACATTTAGCTTCCATTTCCACAGACAGTAAGGCCAACCGAGAAAGTGAACTCAACCCATAAAAGCTAGCATTGCTTCCATATTCACTCACTTCTTTAAATTCCTGATATTCTTTAAAGCTGTCACCCATGTATAGTTCTTCCAATTGAGACAATCTTTGTATCACATTGGAAGGAATTTTTTTTAACACATCACAAGCACGCAAATCCAACAATCTTAACTTACCAAGTTCCCCAAGTTCTTTTGGCAATTCATCAAAAATGGAATCTTTTAAACTAAGAATCTCAAGTTTTATTAGCCTTCCAAGGGAAGAAATGTCTTTGAAATGAACGCAGCCAATTAGCTCTAGGCTCTTGAGATTTTGTCAGGAATTGCAGTGTTTTTAAGGATAGGTCCTTCACAAAACTTAGAGAAACAACTTTTAAAGCTTTCATCTCTATAAAACATTCATTTGAAACTTTTAAGTTGTTATGGTATTTTATACCACCCAGTATCAAAAGTTCAAGCTTTGGACATACCAAACTAGTAGGAAGCTCTACTATTTTGCTGGCTAATGAGGAGATTGCCGTATATTGTTTCCAGCCTTCCTCATTTGACCACTCTATCAATCCCATGCCAGACTTACTCGTGAATATATTATTCCTTTTGGATGCTATCCACAATGCAACATCACAAACCATGTCATGCATTTTCACAAATTCTTCTCCACCCGAATCTAACAACAAACATGAAGGTTTGAGATAATTAAGTGTTGAAAGCAATTCATTCCTTGCATCTTCAATTCTGTCAGCATCCTGATATAAACCTAGCCCGACCCCATATCTAACCAATTGCTCCAAACTAATTATGTAATCTTCCGGAAATAGTGAACACAAAAAGAAACATAACTTTGTTTTCTCATCCTTCAAATAATCATAACTCAATCTAAGACAAGCATAAATATCTTTCAGTCCAGCAACATTAAGTATATCCTCAAGTTTTGACTCCTTTACTTTTTGAGACATGACTTTCCAATCATTAATTTCTTTCCCCTTCATAGCACACCCAATAGCTACAAGTGCTAAAGGCAAACCATAACATTCTCTTGAAACTCCAATGGCTGCATCATCCAATGCGGGGTGGTCATCACCTATACTTGCATGTTTCTTGAGTAAAGTGAATCCTTCCCTTTCATTCAAAACATTTAGTTGAATTTTCATCTAACACTTCAGATCAATACACACTTGTACACTAGGCGTAGTTAGAAGAACTTTGCAACTCTTATGATCATCAATAAAGGGCCCAAACATCATCCAGGATTACAAAGGACTTCTTATCAGTCTTCGTAAATCTCAAATATAATTGCTTTGCTCTTCCTACTTCATTTTCTTTCTTGAATTTCAAATCCAATGACTCTGCTAGTTGATCTTGAATTTTTTTGAAGTTTGGAGTCTGAGATATAAAAAGCATCACATCTTTCATCAAAGATCTCCTTGTTGACTTTAATTCCCACTTCTTTAGCCAAGGTTGTTTTACCAACTCCACACATTCCATACAATCCAAATAAACGAGCTTCATCATTTTCAATGCTTCAAGAATCTGATAAAAAGCGGATTCTGAAGACTGAAAAAGCTGAAAATCTTTAGGGGCTGAAAATTCTGTCCCTGGTAGAGTGGCAGGAAGGGGCATATTCTGGAATTTGGCATCTCCATTTAGGTTCAACATAATGCGTGTCTTCTTTGCTGCTTTCCTACTCAACCAATATCAACAACCCCAATTAGAATTTATAAAACAATCAAATAAGAACTTATGAACAATTGGCAAAGAGAAAATCTAAATTAACTTGTTCTAGAGGTTACACATATGTTTCTCAAATTACAACAGCTTTAAATGGCAATGAACAAAGCACAGAAGCACTTAGCTTAACCTGTAAAACGTGAACTAGATAGAAAATAAGTGAAAGTTAGTTGAAGTTCAAAATTTTAAAAGGTTGACTAGTCAAGTTTATATCTAGCTGGAATACATTAGGTAACTACTAATTCTTTTCCTTGCTTCATCACTCAATTAAGCTTTTTTACAAACAATTTCAATGCATAATCAAAGTCAACGCTGTAGTTCAAACAAAATGATATGATAACAAAGGAATTCAACCAGAAGCTCATCAATCTCAACATCAAAGTAATTCAATAATTACATCCATCTTCATTTCGTCAAAACCATAAATTAAGCCTTTTTACAAACTAAGTGATGCATTATCAAAGACAAACGCTGAAGCTCAAGCAAGATGATATGATATCTAAGAAATTCAAGCAGAACCTCATCAATCTCAACATCAAAGTAATTCCATTTTCATTTAGTCAAAACCATCGAAAACAAGAGAAAGAAAGAAAAAAAAAATTAAAGCAACTGAAACATGGTGAGGATTCAAATGAAAGGTTAGTGTCCCTTACAACGCTAGCGAGTGAAGAGAGGTAGGTTTGCTGAGGGCGAGGGTTGTGAGGTGGGTGGGGGGCAATCCGCAACTATTTGAAGTTTGGGAAGTGGGCGGGGATGGCTGAGTTTGTTGGGGTAACGCGTAACTAGTTGTTCTTTTTCAACTTGTTTTTCACTGAAAGTAAAATTTATTCTTTTAAATTTGTTTTTTATTGAAAGTAAAAAAGATATCCCTATAGCCAAACAAATTTGAAAAACAATGAAATATTTCTACACCGTCAACACTCAACAACAAAACCTTCAATTCCCTGCAGTCCTGCACCCGCGAGCATAATTCCCAATCCTTTTTCAATTTCAAACCCTATCACTACAACTACAAATTGCATTTACAGGCTTCCCCAATCCTAATAATAAGTATTTTGAAGTTTCATTTAGCTAGTTTTCATTGTAAAATACTGTAACCTTCACTATAATTTCACCATTACATTTGGACCCCTTGAATATCAAATCAAAATATTAACTTTAGAATTGTTATTAATGTATGACAATTATTAATGATGACTTTGATGTTTATCTTTTTGTCGTGGCATTCAACGTTATTGACACACAAAATAATTTGTTCTTAGGTTCATTATGTCCGCCTCTCTTAAGTGTATCTTTCTCTTTTCAATAAAAACTTCCTCATTCTGCTGACGTTCTTATAAAATAAAAAAATAAAAAAATAAAAAATTTTAGAAAGAATCTTCTAATATTAATTATTGTAGAAACCATGTGTAAGGAAATAAAAACTAGGGGTGGAAAAAACCGGTTAACCGAACCGGTTTACCCATATCTTGAACTAAACCGGTTTTCGATTTTAAAAAAAATTGAACCAAAACTGGTCCGATTTCGGTTATAAAATGGTTTGTAACCGAACCAAAAATTCGGTTTGGTTAACCGGTTTTAAACTAGTTAATTAAAATGGGTTGGATTTGTTCGGCCCAATTCCTTCAAACCCTCTACTTTGGCCCTTTTTTTTTTTATAGGTTTATTCAAATGGGCCTAGACCATTTTAGCCTAGTTATATCCATTCTTTCACCTTGGCCCATTTTTTAACTTGAATCGAAGTTATATTTTTTGTAACTGAATAATTTGAATTCATATAATTTTAATGTACATCAAGTATTAATAATTTAAAATTACAAATCAAAGATTGCAAAAACAAAGACATGATGCAGACTCTGATTTCAAATTATAGAGTACACAAAGACATTTACAAATCAAACATATGCAAACGGATAAATAGTCCCCTGCCAACTTAGTTTCCACCCTAAAATTACAAATCAAACACATGATTAAAATAAGAGACATTTTTCCACAAAACCCAAATCAAACACATGATCAAAACTAGCAAACACATTTCCACAAAACAAACATAACAAACACATTTCCACAAAACAAACCTAAGTACATAACAAGTACATTTCCACAAAACAAACCGAAGTACATAACAAGCACATTTCCAAATCAAATAGTGAAATACAAACTTAGAAGACACACAAACAAAGTTCACAAGACAAATACAAATATAACAAATCCACAAAAAGATTTCAAAAGAGGCCTCCAAGCAAACAATAACCGTCCAACTCCAAGCACATTCCAATTCATTGTCAAATGTCAACTGTCAAAGCAAAAAAGTTCCACAACTTGTTAGCTAGCTTCCATTTTATATTTCTTTCTTTTTATAAGTTTGTCCAATCAAATCTACAAATTAGTAAATAGAAGAACAAATGAAACTAAATAAAGTCATAGTATATACCTCGTTATTGGAAATTTGGATTGTCCTTCAATCATTTAGTTGAGGACGAGTACTTTCTATTCTTAAAGATGGAAATTCTACAAAAAGTTGGATAAACACATAATTAAATAATTGAAAGTATAATTAACAAATCCAACAAAGACATAATTAAATAATTGAAATTAAAGCAAAAATTTTACCCGACTCAATTTTCGTTAACTCATCCAAGGTCTCCTCAATGGCTAATGGTGCAAGCGTAGTCCGAATCCAATCTTGTGTGCAGAGAATTGCCTCCACCATTTTCGTAGTAAGGGAGCTACGAAATGGATCCAATACACGACCCCCTATACTAAAAGCCGACTCAGATGCAACAGTTGAAACAGGCATAGTCAATACATCTCGTGCCATCAAAGAGGGAACTTGATATTTTGTTGAATTCATCTTCCACCATTTCAAGAGATCAAATGTCTTGTCGTTGTCATCTTCAACATCATCCGCTAAATACTTATCCAACTCTAATTTAGGCTGATTAGCTTGGTTTCCAGCCTTTCGCTTTTAAACTTAACCCTCATGTCCTCTTGAGGATCAATATCAACATCATAATCATCAAGTGCACTTGCACCTGGAGATTGCTGACTTGACTGCGTAGTAAGACCCCTAGCCACCTTACACAAATTGTAATGGTTAAATAAAGACAGCAAAGTTTCCATCACTTTTTTCTTTAACTTATTAGCAGTAAAAGCATCATAGGACTCACCAATCACCCAATCAACATATTCTAACTTGTCCCTAGGGTCTAAAAGAACCGCAATGAATAACATTATGTTGATATTATCAACATTTGACCAATATTTATCAAATTTTCCCTTCATCCTTACCGCCATAGAACTTAAGCTAAGATCATGACTATGAGACCATTCTGAATTCTTCATCCCATTGCCATATATCTGTCGCATGTACTCATTACCGGTAACATAAAAAGAGTCGGACACACATACGGTAGCATCATAGAAAATTTTTAGAAAGGGTAACAAGTACCGGGCATATTCCCAATCACTATACGTAGGCAAACCCCTTGAATTGTCCCCACTAGAAATCTCATCTTTGTACTTACTATCTTCTATTTCCAATAAGTCAAATGCTCTCTGGAATTTAACTACAGTATCCAACATCAAATAAATAGAGTTCCACCTTGTTTCTATATCAAGCACCAAATGACTCTTACTTTCAATTTTTTCTTTCTCCGCACACTCCATAAATCTCATTAACCTTGCTAGAGAAGACCTCACATACCTCACTGCAGCACAAATTCTAAATATGGAGTCATCCATATCTTTTAAAACCTCTTTTACAATCAAACTTAATATGTGTGCACAACATCTCATGTGAAGAAATTGACCACCCAAGACATTTCCTTGCCAACTTGATAACCGAGTCCTAAGGTAGCTTATACCTACATCATTAGAACTTGCATTGTCGACCGTTACTGTGAATACTTTAGAAAACCCTAATCAATCAAGCACCCCTCCACTGTCTTCCCAATAGAGGTGTTCGGTTCTGGGTACCCTGCATTTTTTGAAGGAACTGGATCTGGAACCGGAACCGATGGCTCCTTGAAATTTGGAACCAGAACTGACAGTTTCGATTCCTAGGTACCCAGAACCAGAACCTGTAACAACGGTTTCGATTTCGGTTCTGGTTCCGGTTCCGGTTCCGGTTCCAGTTCTGGGTACCCTGTAAAATTCAATGATCCCCCAAAAGTTTTTAAAATGGCAAAAAAAAACCCTTAAAAACTTACAAATACCCCCCCACCTGGCACTTGTTAACAAAAATAAAATTACAAATTATAAATTCAAAATTACAAACTCCATTACTTTGTAAATGTAGATTCTCAAAAGTCAAACCAACTTACTTTAAATGTTATGAAATATAAATATAAATGTATTCACATTATTTTTTCTACAAAAGTTTTTATTAACCCCCCTAATTTTTGATTTTATTTTATATTAG